ATCTTTTTAAGTGGGAGAACTTGCACAATTGGTGGCTGACTAAATACTTTTTTGCCCCACTGTACATAATGTTGCAAAACTTTATAACGCTAAAAATACTGAAGGAGGCTTTTGAAGAATGGAATCAGAAAATAGTAGCCACAATATCAACAATGTCAATAATGATGTCTGCTTCTATGGATAAACTATGTCCAAAGATGTTGTTGAAGAAATGAAAGATGCAGAACACATTTTATCACACAAGATAGGGGTGATATCAAAAGTGGATTTACAACTGATAGGCCAAGATAATGACTTAGAAAAGGACATTTCACTGGGTTTACAAAAGAAACTGGCTGAGATTTTTAAAATATAAAAGGGAAATACAAATGAAAACCAAGAAAGTGACCTGAATAATTTTTTCTTATTGGATTTACAAAAGAGGCTTGTTAAAGCCTTGAAGAACTCTGTGTGATGGGACAAAGAAGAAATGAAGAGAAATCAAATCTTATGACAATACCTGAATGAACTAAGAATAATTTTTTCTTATTGGATTTACAAAAGAGGCTTGTTAAAGCCTTGAAGAACTCTGTGTGATGGGACAAAGAAGAAATGAAGAGAAATCAAATCTTATGACAATACCTGAATGAACTAAAGATCAAGACTGTTAGAAATAAAAGAAAGGAATATAAACTTGGTTTATTTGATCAAGGTTAAAACAAGATACATTGTTACTTCTGGCAACCCTTTATGGATTTTCTGCTGACACCAGGACTGAAAAAATGATATTTTATAGATTTGTTTATAGATAAGAGATGGGACATGGGATGAAGACATACAGGTGAAACTCGAAAAATTAGAATATCGTGAAAATGTTCATTTATGTCAGTAAGGCAACTCAAAAGGTGAAACCAATATATGAGATAGATGCATTACATGCAAAGCGAGATATGTCCATGTAATGCGTCTATCTCATATATTGGTTTCACCTTTTGAGTTGCCTTACTGACATAAATGAACATTTGCACGATATTCTAATTTTTCGAGTTTCACCTGTATGTCTTCATCCCATGTCCCATCTCTTATCTATAAACAAACATGTAATGCGTCTATCTCATATATTGGTTTCACCTTTTGAGTTGCCTTACTGACATAAATGAACATTTGCACGATATTCTAATTTTTCGAGTTTCACCTGTATGTCTTCATCCCATGTCCCATCTCTTATCTATAAACAAACATGTAATGCGTCTATCTCATATATTGGTTTCACCTTTTGAGTTGCCTTACTGACATAAATGAACATTTGCACGATATTCTAATTTTTCGAGTTTCACCTGTATGTCTTCATCCCATGTCCCATCTCTTATCTATAAACAAACATGTAATGCGTCTATCTCATATATTGGTTTCACCTTTTGAGTTGCCTTACTGACATAAATGAACATTTGCACGATATTCTAATTTTTCGAGTTTCACCTGTATGTCTTCATCCCATGTCCCATCTCTTATCTATAAACAAACATGTAATGCGTCTATCTCATATATTGGTTTCACCTTTTGAGTTGCCTTACTGACATAAATGAACATTTGCACGATATTCTAATTTTTCGAGTTTCACCTGTATGTCTTCATCCCATGTCCCATCTCTTATCTATAAACAAACATGTAATGCGTCTATCTCATATATTGGTTTCACCTTTTGAGTTGCCTTACTGACATAAATGAACATTTGCACGATATTCTAATTTTTCGAGTTTCACCTGTATGTCTTCATCCCATGTCCCATCTCTTATCTATAAACAAACATGTAATGCGTCTATCTCATATATTGGTTTCACCTTTTGAGTTGCCTTACTGACATAAATGAACATTTGCACGATATTCTAATTTTTCGAGTTTCACCTGTAAATGTTTGTAACCTTAGAGGGGGTGAAGAGTCACTAAATTTGTTTATGCTTGTTGTGATGAAGGTTGGAAATCACTTCTTTATATATTTCTTTTCTCTTGATTATACTCTTTTCTCTCTTTTTTTCTTGCACTTTTTACTCCTTGCTATTCTCTTTAAGCTTAGTTTCTATCAGATTTTATTATTATAATCAAAATTCTCTGTCTATCTATCTATGCTTCAGTTGGTTCAGAATCCAGTAGTGCACTAGTTATGGGCTTTCCTCATTATGCCTGTATGATATCTCTACTCTATAACCTGCCAGGTGTAATTCAAAGTACTGGTTATCACCTATAAAGCCCTATAGGGCACTGGACTGGTTTATTTGCAGGTACTGCTCCTTAGGGCATCTGCCTGTCCTAGATGCTCCAACAGGGAGGCACACTCCAGGTCCTCTCACTGAGACAATGCCACCTTACAGGACTTGGAGGCGTGTCTTCTTGGCGGAGGTCCCTGCTTTTTGGAATAATCTGCCCCCAATGTATGGCTGGCCCTGGCTCTTTCCCCAGGTCTTTGGATCTGGATGAGTAGAGTCACAATTATTGAGTGGCAAGATAATTTAATGTAGGGCCATTTTATGGTTTTAGTTCTTTTTTAAAGTATTGTGTTGCTTTTCTGGGAGAGGATCTATATTTGTAGTTGATTTTTGTATGCCGCCCAGAGTCACTTTGTTGATTGGCTGGCCATATAAATGCTAAAAATAATAAAATTAAATAGACAGATTTCCTTTTTCAGCCATTGGGTGCTCATATGGGTGGGCGTGTCTGCCTTATATATAAATAAATTTTAAAGAATGGACCTTAAAGAGGGTAAGACTGGTGACATTATGACATCACAATGGATGGACTCAATATTCTGCCTATTTTTAGGCACCTGAAGACATTAATTTTCATCCCATTTTCAAGGGGGAAATGGATGCTTCACACACCCACTTTGAGCTCTTGAAAGATGTAAATCTACAAATTAGCAAAAACAGACAAAAGGTCTGCCACTACTCTGTCCAGAGTAGCTCTGGTGGGCCCTAAAAGGGATGCTGAGTTTAACTGTAAATGGCAATAATGAAATATTATTATTGCTTATCGAAATGCTGATGTAGAATTGTATATACCTCCGTGAATATATGCCCTGCATGTTTTTGTTTCTTTTTCTAATATTTTCTGTATTCTTATTTGTACTTTCTTTATAACTTCATGCACTGCTTTACCTCTTTCTGTTTGTCCTTTTATATTTAATCGATAAAAACAAAACAAAAATTAAATACGGTGCAAAGACCCACTTGCTTCCTCCCTCTTCTCTAGAGCAGTGTTTCTCAACCTTGGCAACTTTAAGATGGGTGGACTTAAACCCCCAGAATTCCCCAGCCAGCCATGGTAGCTGGGGATTTCTGGGAGTTGAGGTCCACCCATCTTAAAGGTGCCAAGGTTGAGAATTCTGGGAGTTGAAGTCTACCCATCTTAAAGTTGCCAAGGTCAAGAAACACCACTCTAGAGTATCAGACCATCAACAAGAATAGTTCTAACTGCTGGCACAAAACAGGAAAAGTATCACAGCCCCCAAGAATATTAAAAATTATAAAAGAAATCTTACATCATGCATGGAGTCCATAAGCTTTGTGAGCTGGTAGAAACGTTGAGAACTGGCTACAACCCCTTTCTGTCGCAACCCAATTGCCTTGACCAGCTCTCTGATATAACTGGATCTCATTTCATCAAACTGATTTTGGCTTCTGAGTCCTTCCAGAGGAACTGTGTTTTGGGGGGAAAAAAGGGATATTTTACCTTTGACTCTCAAATTCCAAACAAAAGAAATATACTGTCTTCCCAAATTCGTTCAAATTCACATACTGAACCATTTGTTCTTCATTAACCAAGCTTTGAGATTTCAATGCTTGAATCAAACTCTGATACTGATTCCTATTAGTCATTAAATAGAGTTAGTCCTTTTATTGCTATTATTCTTAACCATAGTTAACTGTATGAATGAGAAGGAGGATGAATGACAGAAGAACTGGTTGAACTAAGCATCCACGTTCTTTAACCATTATTGCATGAACTGGAGCTTGTAGCTGTGTACTCAAGGACCAATTCACTCAGAAGTAACAAGAGAGAACTGTCCCTACGATGCAAACTGTTTTTTCCTCAGCATTCCTAGTTATATAGAAATGGGCTTTTGCAAATCTCACGGATGTGCTATATTCTGATATGACAATTAAACTCTGAGCTGCCAGAGTTTAGCCAAGCCCCAGTGTCCCTTTGGCCAAGATGGTCAGTCAGCCATGTTACCCACAGGACTTTGCAAAAACATTTAAAGGGGTCCTTTGCTGCCCACTAAATGCCCAACTTCAAGTGCTGAGACTCAGTGAGGTTCCTTGAATGGCTTTCCTATGTCGCCTCTACAAATGTGCTCACACATAGCCACTTCAGTTCACTTGCAGTTCCAATGGAAATTTGCCTGTGTGCATGCAGACACACCCATGCTTTTTATACCCCTAGTTAATAAGACCATGGGGAAGCTAGTTCTGCAGCCAAGACTCAACTGACAACAACACAATCCAGATCTCTAGCTGTTGTTGTTTTTAAGACTTCTGATTTATTAACTCAAGATTTAGAAATTTAACATGGAGCCTATTTTTAGAAGTTTTCAGATTCCCAGTCTGCAACTTTTTCTCTTTTATATCCTCAGTAATTTACTGTGATTTTTCCCTTACTTGTAGCAATAGGTTATTACATTTGGGGTGGGGGGGTGGAATCACTATTCTTTTGGTTGTTTTTTTTTTCCCTTAAGACTTAAGCTACCTTATACCCAATATCATCATCATCATCATCATCATCATCATCATCATCATCATCATAATATTTTCACAACATGCTCCCCCCACAACCCAGCACTATATTGTCACCTAAAAATGATGATACATATGAGAAGGAAATACAAGCTATCCACCCCCAAGGGAGGACTCTCAGCACCTCCTCCTGGTTCCCCCTAGCCTGAAATCATGGCTTTTCCACTTCATTAGAGTCAAAGAATAAATGAACCCTTAGTCATATCTCCATGCAGCAGACACCAACATCTGCAAAATTAACAAGATCACTTTCCAAGAAGGAAAGTCATGGACAATATGACCTTATTTGGACAATGTAGTGCAGCTCTCTGGATTCAAATGCAAAAAGGGTTCCTTGGAGCATGCAGGAGTGTTCACACAGAATCTGACCATAAGTCTTCGAAACAACCGTGTCTTTTCCAGGACTCTGCTACAGCTGAAGAGGGCAGCCGCGTCATTCCAAGAAAAGACACAGCTTCTTAAAACAGTTGTGGACAGGAGCTTCCTGAGTGCCCTACATATTTCCAAGTGCCTACATAGCCCTAATTTAAACATATCTTATTCAAAGTGCTGGGTATCATGAGCCCAACAGCGGCATAACAATGGGATACATCAGACACCACCTTGCAAGCATTTAATCCATCCGGTCAGAACATCTCAAGAAGTCCACTCCACCCCACCAGCATCAGAGGGTTACAGGGAAATAGACCAGACAGCACTTTTTTATATTTTTTATAGTTTTACTCTGTTGTAACCTGCCTGAAGCCTTCTGCTTTGGGTGGACTATAAAAATTGCAGATCAATGAATGAATCAATCAATCAACCCATCTATCCTCTGCTTTTGGCTGAGAAATTTTTCAGACAGACAGCTGGGTCAAGGTCCATATTTCTCTGTCCTGGGAAGCTTGCCCTGACTGGATTTTATTGTGTTAACTATGGCAGACTACTTTCCTTTCTTCACATGAGCTCAAGCCCTAATAGGACAAGACAGTCTTACAGAGAGATGAACTGACTCTTTTCATGCTTTACACAGGACCTGCACACAACAGGCCAGCCCCACTACAAGCTTCTGTAATGCTACTGAAAACTCTTTTTCACCCAGGCCCCTGGATCAGTGATACAGAACCTGACATCTATTTGCAAAAAGAAGAAATAAAGAAGCAGGAGTGTATCTTACTTGTATTCAGGAGGAGCAGGGCTTTCATGCAAAGGAATTCCTCACTGCTTACTTGTAGCTTGACAAACTCCTGTGGAATTTGCCACATGGACAGGCACAGGGAATAGAACGATGATTCTTTCATCCTCTGTCTTACGCACCCCCCAGAAAAGAAAAGCAAAAGCTAAATAAATAAGTATCAAGCCTGCGGTTCTTTAAGATCTTTACTTTACAATATGGTACCACAGTGGTACCTCGGTTCACAAACGTTTCTGTTCACGAACAATTCGGTTCACGAACAGCACCGTTTGCAAAATTTTGCTTCCGTTCA